TGATTTCCTAAATTTGTATGGACTTCATTCATTAAAACCCTTTACTTCGTTATTATTCACTGGGCTTTCGCTCACTATTTATATTATGTATGAAGGTGAGCAAGCACGTGACCAGGCCCAGAGTTGACGGCCTATGTTTCTGTTTTGTCAGCCAACCTTGTGCCTCCCGAGGAGGTTTCGAATGAAGTCAAGTTTTTATGGTTGTTTTTGTAATTATATTAGACTCTGTTTGTCTTGTTAAGTTTTGGATGAATTTCTGGTATTACACTTCTGGAAGTGATATGTAAACATTGTATCTTTTGACATCACTCGTAAGTCTATCTCTGTTTTAAATTATTCATCTCATATATGTCATCACAGCTCATTGGACCTCGTATATTTTGCATACTTGCTTTTGTAGCCTCTAACTACATGATGTTTTGCTATGAGGCCTTTGGTAATCCAAGGGTTACTGGCCGATTACGATGATAAACCCTTAGGGACAGGTTTGGATTGTGACACCAAGGTCACTCTCAAACATCCGTTTTCGATGCTGAGCATCTCAAATGTCTTCGCCATCTGCTCTAGCCACTCGTCAGCCTTCAGTGGCTCCTTGGGATCGCCTAAAAACTCATCCGGGTTCGACCGGAAAAACTTTCTCTTCAAGAAAGATGGCACTGCTTCAGCTACTTGGGCTTGGACTTGATATTCAACCCTGAGAATGTCCATAGATTCCCTCAATACTCCGGCCATTTCGCGAGCTAAAGCGCCCATGGCCTGCCGACCAACCGGGTCGGCCACGTTAGCCTGACTGACTCTCTCTTCTTGCGCCGGAATTTCATCCGTTATAGGCATCTCGTGCCTCCTAGGCCTACCACGCCTGCAACCACCACATCCATGTCCTGACATCCTAATAAAGGTAACGAAAGATATTAGCACATTTACAAATGTGCCGAAGCTAACTCACGCGTGTCCTAATACGATGAACAACAGTAAATCATCCCACATAAACACATAATCACATAAACATCTATGAATTTCATTTCTGGATAATGACCATCTCGCGGCGTTGCTAGATTTGCGATTAGAAACGGCAGTGATCAAGTGCCTTTCCAACAGGACTCCCAGGAACATGTGGACTCAATCAATATCCTAGAAACTAAATCCCATACTCATATAATCACATAATCATGTTATCATATAAACACATAATATCCATAGTTAAGTCTCTAACAAGCGAGATAAACCCATTGTGGTACTAACTACTTTCCACATACCCAAAGTATTCAAACTCTGTAGGCTCTTATACCAAGTTGTGACGCCCTCAAAATATAACCATAATATAAGCCATAAGCATATATAATGAAGGCAACATACATTAAAGTAAATAGTTCTCTCATTATACAAGTTACTATTACAAAAGAGTTTAACATAAATAAATGCCTTTCGGGCTCACACATTTCCAAGTCTTAACTTGGTTGCAACAAAAGTGGGACTAGCCCATACAATTAAAGCCCTAGGCTAAACAAAATGTGAAACAAAATAAGAAGTCCTCGTGCTTCCTAAATAGCCCTCCAATGCTATTGCCTTGGTGGAGGCATACCATCATTACCTGAAAATGTTTTTCCCAATATAGAGTGAGCCACAGCCCAGTAAAGATAATCTAGCACAGTGTATGAGATTTAACAGAAGTATAGGAGTAGTGAGTATAAACAATGTTCAGGCTAAAACATTCATCATTTCTTGTATTTACAACATATCATGACCATAACTCACTTCATTTTTCCCTATTGTTCATCTTGCTATATGAGCTAATTTTATGTATCCTCTTCAATAACTCAAGTGAGACTACAACTCAATAACTCAACAAATCCAAGTCAACACATTAACACATCCAATTGCCATTTTACAGATATTTCGTCCGCGGGATAGGCACCCATGTATAGATTTCAGGACTTTCACCTAGGACACTCCGACCAACTTAATTATAATGGAGTCCATCCCCTTTCTCCTCCCAAACAAACATACATTTGAAATGCATATAAACACAAAATCACATATGGAGTTCATCCCCTTTCCACTCCCAATTAAACATACATATACAATGTATTCACAACATAATCATATTCAATGATAGTCAACCATGGGATAGTTTTAGTTCACCTAATCCATATGCAATTTCTACAACAATCAAAGTTATCCTCCACCGATAGCCCAATACAAATATTTCTAAACGGATGTATAATTTATTCAAAATTTCCAAAAGTGAGACGCATTATTTATTTCATTTCACCATCCATCTCCATACATGTCCAATTCCGTGTTTAGAACATCAATATCATTCATTGATACAAAATAAACATAATACTCATTCTAGGGCAAATTTCCCTTTTTCCTCCAAATCTCAACCAAGTGCCAAAATCAACTACCTTGACACAACAAGACTTCATTTTCAAACCCCATGTTCTTAGATTTTATTTCCACCAAAAACCCCTCTTTTAAATAACACCCAAACCCTAGATTTGTGTTCAAAATACCCCAAATCCACCATTGATACACAACTACAAAATACCTAAGTTAAAGACCATATCAAAGTATAGAAAATCCCTACATCAAAGAGTAAAGACAAGCCAAGCAAGGATAGAATCCCAAAAATGCCAAAATCCAACTTTAATCGAATAGAATAGAAGATCTTGAGGAGCTCTATCTTTTTAATGAAGGCTCAAGGGTGTAGAGATCAAAGGATCTAGGTTAAGAGTAGAGAGAATGAGAGTTTTAGAGAGAGAGGCTCTCAACCTTTGGGTTTTGGGTGAAAAGAGATGAAAAAGTTATGTAAAAAGTCATTTTTACGATCTGATATACGCGCAGTCCGCTCGAGCGAAGAGTTTGACGCTCGAGCGTCAGACACAAAAATTCATCCTGCTCGAGCGTAAGAAAGGCCGCTCAAGCTCCAAGACACAACAACAAGGCACTACCTACTCGAGCGCAATACAGGCCTGCTCGAGCGTAGAATACACACATCCAGTATTTTTACAGATTTCAGGCGACCGCTCAAGCGCAAGGAAAGCTGGTCAAGCGTAGACTCGCTCGAGCATAAGAAATGCCGCTCGAGCGTGAAAAACACATCCCTAGTATTTTTGTAGATGTGCAAAGTACTGAGGGTTTGCAAACCCCACTTGAGTGCCAGAATGCCCACTCGAGCGGAAGACAAAATTCTGGGCAGCAAGATTTGGGAAAAACTCGTAACCCACCTGTTCCAAATGCAACCACAATAACCCAAAGACCAATTCCGGGAGATACAAGGGAGGAAAAGAAATAAATATCAACATGAAAGCATTAAACCCGAGTCTGGGATACCACAAGAGTCTAGTCGAAACCAGGATCACTATAGACACTTCGACCAACTTAGTTTTCAATGGAGTCCATCCTCTATCTCCTCGCAAACAATGGAGTACATCCCCTATCTTCTTCTAAATAATGATACATATACAATGTATTTAAAAGCATTGTCATATTCAATGACATAATTCTAATGATTAGTTTCAATTTACCTAATCCTCATGCAGTTTCTACAACAATCATAGCTATCCTCCACCGATAGCCCGAAACAGATATTTCTAACAGATATACAATCCATCAAATAGATAATTTATCAAATTTCCATAAGTGAGTGATTTTTCAAATCCAACTACACCATTCAATTATACACCCATCCAATTTCATATTTCCCACATCAATTTCAATATTTATTCAAAATAGTTCTTTAACATAAATTAGGGAAAAATTTTCCACATTTTTCCAATATTATAACCAAAACCCAACCTCACTATTTATTTTCGTATAACATCATAATCAAGCCCTTATCTACATATATAAAGCCAAATATGGAAAACCCCTCTTTCAAAATTCAAACCCAAACCCTAACTAAACCCAAATCTTCCCAAACTCCACCATTTATACAAAATGACAAATACCTAGGTTAAAACCCATACCAAAGAGTAGAATATTCCTACCTCAAGAGTAGAAGCTCAAAGGAGATGAAGAAGAACTTCAAAAATTGCTCCAAACTCAGTTTTGTTCTAATCAAGAGGAAGCCCACGAGATGCTCTAACTCTTTAACAAAGGGATTAGGGTTGAGAGGTGCTTGGATCTTAAAGTATTTGTAGAGAGAGAGAGAGCTTTAGAGAGAGAGTGTGTCAGATTAGGGTTTTGGGAAGAAATGAAATCAAAAAGTGATGTAAAAAGACCCAGTTACGAACTGATATACGCGGTCCTCGCTCAAGCGAAAGAGTTGTCGCTCAAGCGACCAGACACAACAAGTGACCTCGCTCGAGCGTAAGAAGCATCACTCGAGCGCAGAATACAAAGCTTTAGGTCTACTATAGACGCACACGCTCGGTCGAGCGCAAGAAACCTCGCTCGAGCGAAGAAGCAATTTCACAAGACTTGCTCGAGCGCAAGAAGCCTCACTCGAGCGAAGAACTTCACCTTCCCAAAAAAGCTGCGTCTGGGAGAGAGACCTGAGGACTCTCAATTCTCGCTCGAGCGTAAGAAATCTCGCTCGAGCAAAGAAGCAAATTACACAAGGCTCGTTTGAGCGCAAGAAGCCTCGCTCGAGCGAAGAGGTCAAAATCTAGGCAACAACAATCTAAACCAACCAACAACTAACATGTTCTAAACTCGCCCAACAAGCTCCAAAACTCAAATACAAAGGGCCAAAGGAGAAAAACAAGACATGTATACAATATTCAATCACGGAACCGAGTCCGGAATATAATGAAAGTCAGGGCAAGACCGAGATCGCTATAAATTATGTCTTTTTCATTAGTTGATTAAGAGCTACTTCATCAAACTGATGAAAATGCAGCTAGCAACCCTCTACGGAGCCTAATCTATGTTAAATGAAATGCTTTGATCAACCAAAGGCACAATACCATGGTCCTTTCTATTTAGAAGCCTTACATATTTTATATTAGTACTTAAATTGATTTTTGTTGTTCCATTTACTTCTACATATTCAGGTGGTGGATTTGGTTAGAAGAGAAGTGCCCCTTGCCCTGACACCTGAAGACAACCCCATGAGGGATGAGCAAAAGAAGCTTCAAGAGAAGAAGGAAGAAATCAACATGCTAGCACATAAGCAGGTCCGGCGCATCCTCTGGTTAGGGCTAGGGTTGGCTATCATGCAGGTTGGGCTTTTCTTTCGTCTTACATTCTGGGAATTCTCACGGGATGTTATGGAACTAATTGCATTTTTCACCACCACTACTGGCTTAGTTATAGGTTATGCCCACTTCCTGTTTACTTCGAGATACCCAACTTACTAATGACAAAGATGAGCACCAAGTCTAGATTGCTTAATTGTCAATTACATTCAAACTATAACCTATTGATTCTAAATATATGTATATATTTTCTGTGGTGTCCTATCAGGTTGATTTTCAAGCACAGGCAAGGGCTCATAGGATTCTTAAAACCCATGAAATAGTGTGAACTTCAATATTACATAGTTGTACAAGTAATACAGCATACAGTGAATTAGTTGTCAAGCATAGTAGTTAAATTTAATAATACTAACTAAGTAACTAATATCTCCATCAAAATTTTGAACATAACAAAATTCAACTAGCAATTGGAAACGATTGCTGTAAGAACAAAGACATTCAAACCATCAAAACATGTTACATAACCAAATCAATAGAAATTTTCACTGAAGAGCCGTAAACACAACACCATTCAAAATACCTCATAAGCTCCTGTCTCTCTATGAATCTTGTTGCTTGAGATCATAAAGTTGAAATGAAACTGCAAGGGAGAAAAATTTAGGTTAATTGAAAAACCCATACTTGGGAATAGAAAAGAAATTTCAAGGACTTGAACACCTATAAAGTGCCTTATGTGGAGGGTTTTATAGCCCTATTAACAGGATGGAGGAGCCAATACACAAGTTAAACACAATTGTTTTTTTTTCTTGTGTGGTGTTGGTCAGAAAAAAAGGCAAACCCTTTGTTTGGGAATTTTTGCATGTTATTCATATATTTGGTTACACGGCTCCCCCAAACAATGGTCTAGTTTTAGTTCTGGAACATCATGGCCTAATTGGTGCAACTTATTGCAAGCTAAAAGTCAGTAATCAAAAACCACAAGCTAAAAACAACGGCCTCTCATGTGGTGCACTTCACTGAATTTGCTATAAAAAAAAATGAAAAACTAAAAACAAAAACTGAAAAACGAAACATATTCGGCTAAATATGCAGCTAACACAGCGATTGTGAGCAACTCACCAAAATTGAAACTTAATGCGCTGATAAGTGCCTTATTGTAGATCACAATTGATACTGATGAAGCCACCAACAGAGTCAGAGCTCCAACAGTCCCGAGCTCATATTAACCGATACACAAAAGTACATTGATAGTAATTTGTACCACTTAACCAATACACTGAAGTACATTGATGGTAATTTGTACCAAACTGGCAACATGTAGCCAAATCCTCTGTTGGAAGATACTACAGATGGTAACGTGTAGCCACTAAAATCCTGCAAAATCCCCAGAGGAAAAAAAAAATCAATAGCTTGAAACTACAAAATACCAAGCAGCAGTAAAGCCAACCTTGCCATGCACTGCCAAAAAAAAAAAAAACACAGATCAAAAAAATTACAATCTAACTTACCATTCCTTGAACAAAATTAAACCCTAAACAATGAAGCATAACATGAAAACAGAATGGGAACCCATGGCTTACAATCTTTCTAATCAGTTTAACGGACTGAAATCAATAATTAATTGAACCACAAAGAGTCCAACAAAATCAATTAATTTACTTGAAAAAATTACATAAATTTGACCATCTTTATAAACACAGAGACACGAGTCTATGGATACATATATGCAACAGAGAAAAACTTACCTTACAATGTGAAGGAAAATCAAGTCAAAACCCTACAACAGAGAGATTGAGGGAGAACCAGAGCAGATTAGCGATGAATTGTTCATCATCGCGTCGTTGTTCATTAACTTCTTAATCAATGCCAATGCCAAAATTGAATCAATATCACAATCAAAACAAGACAATCAATAGCTCAATCAATGCAAAGGCAATTCTGCAAAGCTAGGGCATGAACCCTTCAAATTCAAACTTTACAAAAAATTAAAATCAAATACAAATGTCAATCAGACCAAAAACAAAAATCAAATTCAAAAGCAGATCAAATAAAAAATGAAAATCAGATTCGGATCTTAGATAGAGAGGGCACCACTTGTGCGATAGAGATAGAGATGGCACACCTTCTGAGACACAGCTCTCGAGAGAAAAGCTACTGAAAGAGAAGTCATCTGCGATAGCTTCATCATCCATCTTTAATGCAATGTGAGAGGCGGGGACAGCCGTGGAATTCCAGAGAGCTCAGCGAGAAAGATTGGGAACGAGAGCTAGGGCTTTTGTTTTCGACAATGAAGATCGGGACTCTCACATCCTTTTAACTAAATAAATAAATACTTAGTAAATATAAAGTATAGAAAATAAAAAACAATTATGAGTTAAAATGACAAGTATTTTGTGTTACAAGGGATTGTTTGAGAATTGTCAATTTTTGATTTTTTATTTAAAAAAAATGTAAAATGTTTGTTGAGATTAAAATGATGTGATAAAAAAATGATGTGTTCGAAATATAATAATGTGCTGAAATAGCACATGCCAAACAACACTTGAAAATATCCTATCATTTTGAATAAATGATAAAATTTTTAATTTACCTATAACTCAGTTTGGTTTTGAAATTCAAATTACTTTCTACATTTACTTAATATACATCAATTTAAAAAGTAAAATATTTTTGACGAAATCTATTTTTTTTTAACTAAATACAAATATAAAATTTGTTCTTTTTCATATTTAGTGAATTTTTGTTTTTTTTTTTTGCAAAAAAGTATTTTTTATTTTTCATATTTAGTGAATTTTGTTAGATTTTTTTAAAAATATTTTTACTTTTTAAGTATATTTAAAAAGTAAAAAAAAATTAAAATATAAAATATCAATAGAGATTAAAAAAAATCGAAAAGCAAAAAATTTTAAAATAATTTTTTGAGTTTCAGGATACTCTATTTTGCAAAAGCGAGTTATTATATTTACTAAATTATTATTTGGCGTTAAATGTTATTTGATTTGGTGTTAAATTTAAATTTTATTAGTAAAAGTTTTCATGACATGCTAACATATGTAGTATAAAGTTATGATATATTATGGCATAAAATGCATGTCGTCATAAGTGTAAATATTTCAAAACAAATTTTTGCAAGTCATAAAAATATAATTTTTTAACAACATATTTTGAATGCTGTAAATATACGAATTAACGACTTACATGGTACAAAAATGCTTTAGAGCTCTAATATAGGAGCTCTAATAGCTCTAATGGGAAGGTAGGTCCCACCCTGATGTGATGTTTGTGCCTTGTTTTAAGTGTAAATATTTCAAAACAAATTTTTGCAAGTCATAAAAATATAATTTTTTAACAACATATTTTGAATGCTATAAATATACGAATTAACAACTTACATGGTATGTATGTCGTTTTTAATAAAGTATTAACGGCTTACATAAAAAAAATGTCATAAAATACATTAATTACGACATACATTTAATGCATGGTGAAAATATAAAGTTGTAGAAGAATGTGATGAGCTCATAAATTAAGACATGCATTTTCTACACTTTTTGTATGCCGTGAAAATATAAATTTTTTACGGAATACTTTTGCATGCCATAAAAAAATCAGATTGCATTCTTTTTTTCTTTTCTTTTTTTCTGTACAAGTTTTCTCGACATTTATTAGCATGACGTGCAAAGTTATAATATTTTACAACATGAAATTACACTGACACCTCATGAAGTTTGGTCTAATTACATCTCACTCCCTAACATTTTAAAAATTATATTTTTACTCCTGTGATTAATAGTTTCATTTCACAAACCTTCCTGCTTATATAACATGCACTAACTCCTAGTAGAAAAACAGATAAAATTACATTGAAAAAAAATAAAGTAAAGGAAAGGAAAAAACAAAGTAAGAAAATGGAGAGTACATGAGCTTAATATTTTTATTTTGTCTAAATAATTAAATGATAAGAGTTAGCGTAATTTTTCAAATGTTAGAAAATGATATGTATTAAATTCAAACTTTAAGGGGTGTAAGTGTAATTTACCCTTATAGAAAAAAGGAGAAGAGAGATGATATTCAGGGTTCGTTTGGGATGTGGGTTGGCTGTTTGATTATTTGGCTATTTGGCTATTTTAGCCTGGGGCTAAAAAGCCTCGTTTGTGATAAGCTTTTTGGTTTTTTTTTTACTTTTGTGAGAGAAAAAATAAAATAATTATGGTTTGGATGTGACATTTTTTCTTATTAGGCTAAAAATCCTATTTTGTCTTTTTGTGGCTGTTTTAGCCAAAAAGTCTCCCGTTTAACAAACGAGGGCTAAGGGGTGTATTGTTGGGTAGCTTTGTTTCCAACAAGCTAGGGAATTTTGATCATCGTTTGGGATGTTGGTTGGCTTTTTGACTTTTGGTCTATTTTAGCTTGGAGTTGAAAAGCCTCGTTTGAGATAGACTTTTTGGCTTTTTTGACTTTTGTGAGAGAAAAAATGAAATGAATATGGTCTAAATGTAACATTTTGTCTTATTGGGCTAAAAGCCAATTTTATCTTTTTGTGACTATTTTAGCCAAAAAAATCCCATTTAGCTTATGTCAAACGAGGGCTTAATGGCTAGAAAGACCTTTTGGAACACCTGTTTGCGTGTTAGGATTTGTGTGCCACACCTCGTTAAATGAGACACAAAAATTTAAGACTACGTTTGATTTAGTTTTAGAATTATAAATTGAGTGTAAAATTATAATTTAAGTGTGAAATTATAAGTTGAGTTTTGAAAAGAGAAAATTTGTTTAATTATGAGATTTGAAAAGAGTTTTTAAATTTTCAAAAAAGTTTTGAGTTGTTTTTTGAGTTTTAAGTTTTTGAAATTTTTTGTTGTAGTTTGAAATTTTTTTCGATTTATTTTTTAAAAAATATTAAAAATTGTTTAAGAAAATTTTATTTTTTTATTTTAAATATATAATTTATATTTAAATTATTTTATTTTATTTTAAACGATGTTAGTATCCTATATAAAATGATCATATTACCCTTGTGTTTGCTTGCAAAAAGACGAAAAACCCCTTTCTTCAAGGCTAACATCACTGCCATAAAGTAAAAGACGAAAAAACCCTTTGCTTTGACCAATACAACCATAAAATAAAATAATTTAAAAATATTTATAATAAAAATTATACAT